AAGTCGTAAAAAACGTGTTTTTAATAAAAAGTCGAGTAAATCATAAAACTTTGCGATTAACTCGAGAAATTTATTAAAAACGACGTCAGATCAGGAAACGATCCCGTAAAAGTCGGAAAACGATTTTTATCGCAAAACGGCCCGGAAGGACCTAAAACGCGATAAAAACCCATCTCGCGATTTCAACGGAATCAAACCCACAGATTTGATAACGTCTTGATGGTTTACTCGCAGAAAGAAAATAAAAGTCAAGTTTAAACATAAAAGGAAGGTTTGAAGAGAAATAGAAGATTTTCGCAGAAGAAAAGGAAGGATCGAGAAGAATGGAAAATTCCCGATTTAGTCAAATCTGGGCGAAATAGAAAGATCGGATAGCCAAAAAGAGGAGTATATAAAGAGGAGGTCTAGGGCAGAAGCAGACACACGAAAATTCAGAGCTCTCACCACCAAAACTAGCATTTAGGAATCTTTCCGTTTTTCTGTTAGCGAGCTGCGTCTCAATTAGGGTTTTCTAGTTCTTACGTTTTCGGCTACTCTCTTTGTACCAGTTCAACGCAGATTCGGAATAAGAACCTTCTTGCTTTCAATCTCGCTTATTTTCGTTTTAATTCTAAGTGTATTCGTCATCTTAATCTTTGTTGTGCGGTTCTCGCAGATAGCCGTTTCCTCTGGAAACTTAGGGTTTTCCCGAAGTTTCCTTATTTACGATTTATTTGACAGTAGGGTGAAATCGACTCACACAATTAGAGTTCTTTTATTACCGTAATATTGAAATAGGTTTACTTGAAATCTTGTTTTACTATATGAGATTTGCAGGATCGAAAAGTAACACAAGTTATTTAAGCAACATTAGAGTGATAAAACACGTACATTAAAGTAGGTAAGACATACGAGAAAGCACTAAGGCACCATGGTCAAACCGTTCTAACTCATGACTATGGAACCCTAATCATTCGTGATATTCATAGTAATCAATTACGAAGTAATAATCGGTGAGAAATAAACTCCGATAGCATCGAAGGCACCACCATCACGTCCATGAAACCCTACAATAACATTACCTTGCTTCTCCAACACAAACTGGGTACCAGACACAAATCCATACGTGGGAGAAATTCTCCCTTTAGATGTTTTGAAGATCAATGACCTAACGACCAAAACGCCATCATCAGGGATTGTGTTGTAGGTGCCTTCAACGGATGTCAAAAATTCATTTGGATAGTCGATTACAAACTGCAATACCATACAAAAGAAACTCAGAAATATCACAAACAAATTGCTAATCTATGCAGTGCCGGTCGAATCTATTTTTATGCTCTAAGCAAAAAACAATTAAATGCCTCTTTTTATTTTTATAATACTACAAAATGTAGATTTAAAAGATTAGAATTATCAAGTTAACTATATATCATTAATATTCTCTCTATTTCTAAATAAGTGTCACTTAACTTTTTTTGTTACATAAATAGTGTCACTTTGGAGTTTCGATGTGATTTTGAGCTAAACATTAATAAAAAATACATTGATTTTATAAATAATTTTAGTTTCTAAATTTTTTATTGGTTAAATATATGTAATTAATAAGAATATAACGTATTCCAAAAACTTTCTTAATCTGTTTGAAAAATGTCAAAATGACATTCTTTGTGAAATATAGAGAATAATTTTTTTTATTTGAGATTGTAGTTAATTCTGTATAATAGTTGACTACAATTAAATCGATTAATTTTATATTCTATTTACGTAAATAGTAAAATAGTAATTAATTAATATTAAAATAATAATAATGAATAAAAAACAATAAATAATATTATAATAGTAAAAAGGATTTTAGTATATTAAAAATATATTTTATTGAAATTTTCAATTAACATAAACATTATAGCCTTTAAAATAACAATAAATTGATAATATTTTTGATCAATAAATTTGTTGATAAAACTAATAAAATATTACTAACTTAAAATTATTACTATTAATTATTGATATATTTATTTTTAATTATAAATGATACTAAAATTAAGATGGAAATTTTAATAAAAATATGTTTCTTTCATATTGGATGCCCTAAGCGGTGGCTTGAGTCGTTTATGCTCTAGGCCGGTCCTGAATCTATACACTGTAGAACTTCTATAAATTAATAATGTTGAGACGTTAAAAATTAATTAGTTTACGAATGTTTTTTTATTTAGATTTTCTATTTTAATATTTTTTATTCGAAGATAAGAAAAATATTTGATTTTTTAGTGTATATAAACTAATTATTATTTTTCAAATTATTTTTGAATTATATAAATTTTATTATATTATTGGGTGTATATAATATATATTGCATATAATTTAAATGTTGTTTTAGGTATAATATGACTAAATCTCATCAAAACTATTTTCAGAAAATATAAAAATAAATATATTAAGAATATAAAACAAAACTGTGATTATAGGTTCTTATTTATATAAAATATGTATATATATATAAATTATTAATTATAATTTTAGTGGGACTTTATAGTTAAATAAATTTTTTATAAAAATATATTATTTTATCATTTGATCAATTTATGTCAATTTTTCAACTACTAAAATTGGAATCGGTAAAATTTATTTATTTATAAAAATTATTAATTTATCAAATATCAACTTAGAAAGGTTCTACTGTACAAACTATTCAAGTCAAAACGTTTTAAGAGAAAGTAAGTTTGCATCAAATCAAAATTTAGTAATCAAATATGCGCGACATGGACCGTACTAACTGGTTAAAATCTTGAAAACTAATCAAATTTAAAATTTAAAGTAGTTTGCAAACTTAAGACGTATCCAAAGTATAGAAAGAAATAACATAGTTTTTAGGAATGCATATTCAACCAAATGTCGTTGGATTTGGACTAATTTTAATATGTTTTAACGATATATACACAGCTAAAAATTGTCATTACTCTAACGAAAACTCAAAAGTATTATTGGCAATAAATAATTTTTATAGAGTAAATTAAACTCCTAAATTTAATGTTATAGTAATTTAAGAAGATACTAGAACCCGTGCGTCTGCACGAATATATTTTTTTTTGTAATTTTTTTGTATTAAATTTTTATGCCAAATTGATATAAGTATATTATTACAATTTGGTGTTTTATATTATGTAATGAGTTGTTATTGGTAGATAAAACAAGGATTTTTAACATAAAAACCTCTCAACTAAGTTTGTTTTGGGTAAAAAACCCTAAACTAAGTATTTAATGGAAAAAACTTCAAACTAACTTTATTTAGTGAATTAAACCCTCGCCGGTCATAATTACCAGTACTACCGGTAAATCTTTAGTTTAGGGGTTTTATCATTAAACATAAAAATTCAAAAAAAAAGAAAAAAATCAAAGTATAATAACATTATCTAAAATTTCATAACTTTAATTTTCAAAACTAGCATTTTAAAATTTCTGTATATATATGAATGATTTCTTATCCTTGTAAAATATACATATATAATTTTGATTTTAAAAGGATAACAAATTAGACTCATATAGTTACAATTTTTTTTTTTAAAATGCTAGTTTTTAAAATTAAAATTACAAATTTTTAGATAATGTTATTATATTTTGAATTTTATTGATTTTTATGTTTAATGATTAAACCCCTAAACTGAAGATTTACCGGTAGTACTGGTAATTATGACCGGCGAGAGTTTAATTCACTAAATAAAGTTATTTTGGAGGTTTTTTCATTAAATAATTAGTTTATGGGGTTTTACCCAAAACAAACTTAGTTGAGGGGTTTTTATGTTAAAAATCCATAAAACAAAGGACTATATATTAATAGATTAGATATAACGAAGAAGATCGTTAAATATAATATTCAAGAAACTTGACCTCCTTGGTCTCTCCATCTTTGCTCCCATGAGAAGATGTTACTACTCGACCGTCTTTGTCATAGTCTGTGCTTATACTCCTTATAAGAGTGTTGGTATAAGTAATGTACACCTTTCTTATACCATCATAATTAGGACCATCATCCCAATATACCCCACCATATAAACCACCTACGAGTTCCGATTTAGTAGGAGGAGCCTTTGTTACATATGCTCCGAGAGAATTTAGGAATCTTCCAGCAAACCCATGGAAACCAATGATAATCTTGCCATCGACTCCGAGTGAAAATTTAGTAGCCCCCTTTGGATATCCAATCAAGTCATAAGTCTTCAGGTTTGTTTTGAATTGAAGGGCTTGCATCACACCGGTTTTGACATCGTAGTAACAATCCATAAGTACAATGTGTTCATACTTGGATTGGTCAATCTCTAACTGCTCACCAAAAACATTTTTACCATTTACAAAGATTTCAAAATACGTAAGTAGTATATATAATTTTCCCCCAAAGAAAAACAAATTCTCCAAAGTTTATTCTTTTAATCTCTATATACAGATCCAGATTAAAATATGAAACATACCGTATGTGTAAAACCATCACCCGAAACACCATGGGTTGCTCCATCTATGGATTGCCCATCCTTGACGTAATCGAATTTGATGTAGTGAATTCCTTCACGACCACCACGTATATAAACCTTTGCTACATAGTCCTGGTCGGCTCCGTCATCCCACTGCTTGCCCCCTTTCCCACCAATCGGTTCCAACTTCTGGGCCATGGCTAGCCCATTGGAATCTATATATATTAAAGGCAATGTGTCTTAATATAAACTATAATGAGAATTAAAAAAAATAAATAATATATATATATATATCTACTGTATTAAAATAGAGTCATTCTTTTTATCTACTAATCCAATTTATCATTTAAATTTGGACCCTTTCTAAAGTGTTACAAATAATACAAGTCTTATAGTTAATTGAACCGCATTACTTAAATTAAACCGGTGGTTATTTATGAGATATAATCATGGGCTTACTTATATTTTTAGAACAAATTATATGATTTGGTTTTTGCGCTTATTATTAAGGAAAAACTCTAAAAAACATTGAATAAAGTTTCCACTTTAATGGATCAAAAAATCAGTTATTATTTTCAGGCCCAAAAGCTATTTAATATTTTTAACAAAACAAAATTGTCTATTATTAATAATTTATTTAAATCACGTACTTTAAAACATGTTAATTTATTTTTTATTTTAAATAACAAACATTTTGTTTTGATAAATTTCAATGGTAACTTTTAAATAATTTAAAAAACGATATATATATATATATATATATATATATATATATATATATAGAGAGAGAGAGAGAGAGAGAGAGAGAGAGAGAGAGAGAGAGAGAGAGAGAGAGAGAGAGAGGAAAAACTTACCTATAATGGTTGATGTGAGAAAGACACAAATATAGATGATAAACATGATCGATGTGCTGTAGTGATTGATGAAGAAACTGGGGATTGAGATTCTTAATTATTTATACACAATTTTGGCACTTTCACTTATGCATATTACGAATATATATATAACTAGTGGTATTATAGACTAATGTTTCTTAAGTTCTCAAGTTCTCATTTTTATTAGATTTTTAACTAAACTAAATATTTTAATGGAAGTTGACTATAAAATATATTGTCACTAGGACTTGAAAAACTAAATACTTTCGAGTTTATTTCCCTGCTTATTTACCTATCGTATAAAAGATATAGTGGTTTCACATATTTGTCACTTTGATATTTGAAGAAATTGCCAAAAATGACCTATAATATGATTTTAAATGTAAAAGTATATCCAAATTGAGTCAAATGCAAAAAAAAAAACATCTAAAAGCCTCGTGAAATTTTAACAAACTCTTTATGATCAAAGAAAAAACATGTATTGACTTTTACTATTATAACCCAGCGCATGCACTACAAGAAAACTAAACATTTACTAGGAAACTTTACTAGAAAAATAATTCCTCGTAAAATTACTACGAGTTTACTTCGAGTTTACGAGGAAACCATGTTTCCTCGTAAGGTTCTCGTATGCTTACGAGAAAACAGTTTCCTCGTAAAGTCGTAGTAACATTACTAGGACTTTACGAGGAAAAAAACGCGGGCATAGCTATTTCCTAGTAAAGCAGTTTCCTCGTAAAGTCCTAGTAATTGCTTACTACGAAATTAAGAGGAATGATTTTTGTTACTACGAAATTAAGAGGAACTAGATAGAAAATATCGAATTTAAATTTTGTACCTACTTTTCCTAGCAATTTCTTAGTAAATTCTCAGATTCGAAAATTTCTATAAATACCACCGTATGTGATTCATTTGAAACACACCAAACAAATACAAAATACTCAATTCATAACTGAAAGAAGTTCACAGTCAACATAATAGTTTCTTATCAACTCCTCATAGCTTTTCCTCAAAGAAATAGCTTGGGGCTTTTCTTCAGGTAAATAGTTCGAGGAAAGCTATGTGGGGTTGATAAAAATCGTTCCGATGACTATATACTTCTTTTAGTTTTTTTAAAAAAATTTGTGATTTGGGGTTTAGGAAGATGTATAGGTATAATTTATGGAAGTTGGTTTAGGTTTAGGGTTTAGGTTTAAGGTTAGGGTTTAGGGAATTTAGATTAGGTGGTTAGTTTAGGGAACTTATATTAGGTTGTTTAGTTTTGAAAATTTGGGGTTT